AGTGATTCATTTTTCTCGAAATATTTCGTTAAAGATTGAAATTACCGCCCCCAATCGGTTTGAAATTTTTTAATGGATACCCAAAGTATTTTCTCAACAAAATTGCGAAATTGTATGAACACAGGGAAGACACAGATTTTTGTTTGAGAAAATAAATCCAACTGTAATTGCTTGAAGTGATCAAAGAAATAACGTTAAAACGAAAAACATCAACAGACAGAGAGGGTGCAGTGCCCCATACATCAGAGCAATATAATTCAAGAAGGCTGTTTAGCAACGATAATTAGAATCAAAGATTTGGGAGTTTATGTGATTTGCTCACATTACAAAGCATGACAAAAATCAAAATGACCTTATTAGAATCAAAAAGAAATATTATTAGTACGAAGAAACATTCTTAACAACTCCTAACAATGTGCATGAAACCCTAAGGCGTTTCAATGCGCATAACGAACACTTGCAGGAAAAAGCTTTGGTGAAAAAAGACCCGAACCGGCGCATCGAAAAGAAATACAGTCATTCTTACTCCTGGGCTTTGGGTAAGAAGCACCTGCCTCGTGGGGATATCTTCGACAAGATAGAATTTGGAAAGAAATTCAACAGAAACGTTTTATTTTGTGTAGTAAAGCGGCGATCAGAATAGCACAATTATTAGTAACAGAGCGGAGAATACAAAAGAACATAATTAAAAACATAAGACAATGACCAATTAACAGACTGAACAGATAGACCCACGAAAGAGAAAAGAGGAAGTGTTTTTACCATCAAGCATAGTGAGTGTGGGTATCGGATCGGCACAGGAACAGGATTGACAAGATGCTACGGTTTAGAAAACGAGATGATAATTCGCTCCGGAAATCAACAGTGCCAAGCTGATGGAGAGGAAGAGTCGGTTGTGGCAAATATGAGCTTCGAGGTGCAGAAAGCGAGGTGAAGGCAACTGAACGAGATATATGACATAACCATTACAATTTGTAGCACTGTAGATCTTGCCGAAATGAAGTGGAAGTTTATGATATGTCCACGACCAGCCAGTTGAATTACTGCGGAGTTTCCAACTACCACCACGTAGGAGACGGCCCATATTTTCCACGACACCACTACCACGCCGCGATGAAGATCGCCCTCCACTGCACGACCAGAAGCAATTAATGAGCTGTTGGTGGTATGGCAGATGTCAAGTACCTTAAAATTCGCTTGACGGAAGACCAGTTAGCCTCGGTCGGTGCTTGAAGAAATTGTGACACTTTATGAACTGAATAACATACGTCAGGTCGTGTCAGATTTAGATACTGCAGGCCACCAACTATACTTCGATAGAGTGTAGGATCGGAAAAGGGAGTTTGTTGTGCATCCGTAGTCGATTCTTTTGTAGTGGCTGGTGTGGAAAGGCCCTTACAATTAGTCATACCAGCCTTAACAAGTAAGTCCTGTATGTACTTATTTTGAGTGAGTAAAAGGCCATTATTCGTCCAACTCGCCTCCATCCCTTGTTTGAGAGCCTGTTGAATAAACCGTAGCAAGCTTATCCCACGCCTCCTTGGCAGAAGTACAACACACAATCTGATTTAAGAGGGATTCAGAAACGGAACAATTGATCCAGCTTCTGACTATTTGATCTTGACAAAACCAATCATTATACGCTGAGTTGGGTTCACCATTGTCAAGCGACTGAGAAGGTGCAGAGAAGGTGCAGGCTTAGATCCATCGATATAACCAGCAAGTCGATACCCATACAAAAGGGGAAGAATTTGGGATTTCCACAGCAAATAATTAGCTGAGGTCAATTTCACAGAGATGAACTGAGTTATATTGGGAGCTTGGACAGAAGAAAAAGAAGCAGGTGCAGAAACAGTAGAGGTGAGAGCTGGCTCTGTCCCCATACTTTTTTTTTTTTTTTTTGAATAAAGATGAAGAAGGAATACAAAATTACAGAAAGAAAGATGAGAAGATGCCGTGTAGCCTTAGAGCTCTGATACCATCTGGAGGTTTACACGTTTGAGAATTCTTTTTTTGTATTCTGTATTGTATGATAGGTACAATATATAGCAATTTACATGTATATCTTTTAGTGACAGTTACAAATACAGCTAATATTAAATACAAATTGTTGTGTTCTGTATTGTATTATAGGTACAATATATAGCAGTTTACATGTATATCTTTTAGTGACAGTTACAAATACAGCTAATATTAAATACAAATAAATTGTAAATATTATCTTAACTGATTACTCTATCAATCAGTACCTTAAAAATCATTTATTTTATAGTACTTCAAAACTTGGAAATCGTAACATTTAAATTAATTAGCTTCTTTTTAAATATATTTATATAGTTCTTTTAGACAGAAAGCCAAACTCTTTTCCAATTTGGCACGATATGATTGGTTTCATCGGCCAAAAGGGTAAAAAATTAAAATAAAAAAGGCAATTTAATTTGATTCTTGGCTTTGTTAAAGTGCTTATTCATATTCTAATTGGTAAATTCTCATGTAATATTAATAACTTTCATGTGAGCTCACATGCTTATGGCATACTAGTTGAAGGTCCACACGTATGTATTACATGAATTTTTTTAATAGTTTATATAAATACATTATATGATTTTCCGCGAATTGTTTTTTTTTTTTAGATTATGCTTTATGAATATTTAGTATATTTATTAAAATATTTATAATATATAGATAAATACTATTTATAATTTAATTTTTTATGGTAATTAACTATAAATTTTCAATAGATATATAGATATATAAATTTTGTTTTGAGAAGATAACTTTTTTTTTTTTTAAAAAAAATACATTATCTATTTATATGAATCTATCTATTAACTATGATATTAACTTTTTTTTTTTTTTCTACGTCATTGTAGAAAATAAATAGATAAAGATAGATATGGATAGTAATGCAATCTCTTATATTTGTATCCACAGTTCACGAGGCTGCAAAGCCCTAGCCTCGTGGCATTATTCATTCTGCAAGTTAGAAACAGTCCTGACATCCAGACAATCAATCAAATAGTTTCCTGATTTTCCATTCACAGACTTATTTTTCATTCACAGAGGATAAAACAACAGTCTCATGAAAAATGCTAGCTTGTAGGCAAGGGAATGAAGCTAATCTCGAAAATATGAGTCTGAAGGTTGAAGAAGAGGAAGGCGATGCTGTATCCAAATTAAAGTTAGTTGTATAATGTGGATTTTATACATCCGCTAATAGATGGTGATAATTTAGCTGAAATTCGAATTTGAAACTCTCCTCTAATTTGTTGGCGATAATGATAATAATAATAATAATAATAAATAAATAAATAAATAAATAAATAAGAGTTAAAATAACTGTATAATATAGTTTTAAGAATCAAGCTGGTACAATCATGATTATTAACTGCATAGTGATTTTTGGTTTCCAGTTAACTCTAATAAGTAAGAGTTGCATCACAATTGCATAGTTTGGAGTTGGAAAAATATAGCCGCAGTGCAATAATTTACCCATCTACTTTACGTAGAAAAATCTTGTGACGCCTTTAACTTTTATTTTGATCTATTGAACACTTCAATTTATAAAATTATACCAATTAAATATTTCAACGCAAAATTATTCTACTGTATACTTAAACTTCTAAAATTAAATAAATTACACACTTATTAGATAGGTGAAAAATGTGAAAATTATTATTTCAAAAATTATGTTAACAATATATTAAGTGAATATCTTACACATAAATGCCAAAAACACCAAAAAATGTTATTGTTACTGTAGAGAGGATTATAATATTAGTAAAAATTTATAATTTCAAATTAAGTGAATATCTTACACATAAATGCCAAAAACACCAAAAAATGTTATTGTTACTGTAGAGAGGATTATAATATTAGTAAAAATTTATAATTTCAAAGGTATAATAGGTTACTTCAGGCTCTCATTTTTTTTTTCCCAATTTTGAAAATTTTTTGTTTGCACCCTCTAGTTTCATAAACTAGCTCCGGCACTGCTCTAATCAAATGTGTTTTGTGTCGCTAAATATACATGGATCCAACTTATCTTAAAAAATAATCTTTTTATTGAAACGAGAGTATTTCCAACTTTTTGTTATAAAAAAAAACCAATAACGATGTCTAAAAAAAATCTCTATTTCAATTTTATTCATTGGGTGCATAAGGCATGGAATGGATCAAACAAGTCTAATCCAAATTTAGGTACATATCCATTGTGATGATCCCATTATAAGAGGACTTGTTTGCTTTAACTTATTATGCCCTTCACAGTATTTTACCTTGATACCAAATTGGGGGAAAAAAGAATAATAAACATACAAATACTTTTCATTCGAAACCCTTAAGTGAAATCATTAATATTTAGGGTTCATAAATGGTTTAACAAATTAGTTTCACAAGATAAACATTACATGTTATAATATTTATTTTATAAATAAGAATAATAATAATAATTACATGAAACTAACTGAAAAGGAAGGGTTAATTATAAAGTGAAATCCACAGCCTAACCATAAACCATTTATTTGGACCTTGGAGATATGTAGGCCTGCAATGGATTCTTCATAACAACTGTAAATTCAAGCTTCTCAGATAAATCAACATCCTCCTTGTTTATAGCTTTCCACTCGAAACTCCAAATCAGATTAGCCACAAAATACTCCAAATGAAGCATGGCTAAACTATAAGCAGGACAAATCCTCCTTCCTACACCAAAAGGCATCATCATCTTGATCTCTCTTGCCTGCCTGCTATATCAAAATCAGATAATTGTCCTTCATCTTTTCAGAAAACCTTCCTGGCTTAAAAAGCCATTGGATCATCCCATACTTTTGAATCCAACCCATTCAGCTATCATAACATTAATGGGTCAAAATTTAGGTATGGAGTTACTTGTCCCAACTACATCTTCTCTTTACTAATGTGCTAAACCAAAAGAATGTCCTGGTGGATGTCTCCTTTAATTTCCTTCCAAAATACTGCTTTTAAAATGGCATATGTTTTGCAATCCTCTTCTTTCCACTTCTTCTTCTTCTCCATTGCTTTATAACACCTTTTGATCTCCATAAAGAGCTTCTCTTGAATTTCTGGGTATTTTTACCAAATTTTGCCACTTATCCATTGCAAAGCTTGTTGAAGTAGTATCCAGTGCCTCCGTTAAGAAGCTCAGGAGCATAACTAATAATTTCTCCTTCTTCAAGCTTTCTTTTTCTCATCAGGAAGTTCCAAATTCAACAAAGTATCAACATACGATTACGATTGATGTCGTTCTTGCTGCGTCCGTTTTGGTTTATTCTCGTCTCCTTTAACTCCTTTCGAGCCTCATAACCAATGGAATCAAAATTTTCTCTCTCTGTTTACTACAAATCTGAAAGATCTCTTCCAGCGCTGCGCATGAAAATCTTACTCAATCTTGGCCAGAAAATTTAGTTGAACTAAACTTGCCAAATGTTAAAAAGTATTTGCCGTTGAACTTCTTTTTCGATTTGTTTGATTTGGGTTTCGTCGAGCTTGTCTTCCAAAACATATTGAGAAACTTAACAGAGCCCAAACATAAGGAAAAATTGAAATGGTCTACCACGGGAAACAGTTAGAAAACCAGATTTGCTTGTCGATTCAATTACGGTTTTCCGAAGGTTTGAAGACCCATTCGCGCGCGTTTCTTTATAGGATTGACACTGCGATGGGTGAAAAACCTCCGGCGGTGAGATTGTCGCCGAAAAAACGCCAAGTTAGGGCCATAGGAAGCAGAGTTAATATTATTGGCTGATTGCTATTGATTAATTTTGGCTATAGGTAAAAGCTGGGGGACGCGTTCAGCAAAAACGCACATTTTGAACAAAGGCTTTGTGGCGAGACCGGTCGCTATGAAGAATTGGACGTGGACGAGAACCCATGTAAAAGAGTGAAAATTGGGCGAATTTTGAGTGGAGAGAGAGAAAAATAATGACATTCGAAAGTGATCGGATATGCGGATGACCTGCAGGCGAACTTTCTTTTCTCATCAGGAAGTTCCAAATTCAACAAAGTATCAACATACGATACGATGATGTCGTCTTGCTGGTCCGTTTTGTTTATTCTCGTCTCCTTTAACTCCTTTCGAGCTCTAACCAATGGAATCAAAATCTCTCTCTGTTTACTACAAATCTGAAAGAGCTCTTCCCAGCGTCTGCGCATGAAAATCTTACTCAATCTTGGCCAGAAATTTAGTGAACTAAACTTGCCAAATGTTAAAAGTATTTGCCGTTGAACTTCTTCGATTTGTTTGATTTGGGTTTCGTCGAGCTTGTCTCCAAAACATATGAGAACTAACAGAGCAAACATGGAAAATTGAAAATGGTCTACCACGGAAACAGGAGAACCAGATTTTGCTTGCGATTCAATACGGTTCCGAAGGATTTGAAGGACCCATTCGCGCGCGTTTCTATAGGATTTGACACGCGATGGGTGAAGAACTCCGGCGGTGAGATTTCGCCGGAAAAGACGCCAAGTAGGGCCATAGGAAGCAGAGTTAATATTATGCTGATTGCTATTGATAATTTTGGCTATAGGTAAAGCTGGGGGACGGTCAGCAAAAACGGCACCATTTTGAACAAAGGCTTGGTGGGCGAGTGACCGGTCGGCTATGAAGATGGCGGGACGAGAACCCATGTAAAGAGTGAAAATTGGGCCGAATTTGGAGTGGAGAGAGCGGAGAATTGGCTCAATGTCGAAGGATGACCTGCGGAACCATTGGAGGTTTCCGATGATCGGAAAGGCAAAGGGACCGGGAGGAAGGCGATGGTTGTGGCTAGTGAAGAGAAGGTTAAAGATGGACTTGAAGAGAGCAGAGATGGAAAGTGAGATTAAGATGATAAACCAGAGTTCCATTTTGGAGGTGAAAGAAGAAATGGAGATAAATGGTATTTATATATGAACTATTGGAAACTGCAGAGAGTGCTTTTTTCGCTTGGAGCTTACGTTTTCTATCAAAAAAAACTGAAACTTCTTTCAATTTTTCTTTTTTTTTTAAAAAACCGAAACTTTTGGGAGTTTTAATTTAGAAACTGTTTTTAGTTTTTTATTTGTTAAAAATATGAAGTAGTTTTTAGTTTTTTTTTTTTAATTTTTTTTTTTAATTTATGATGTGAAAAATTATTCTTGGCTTCAAAATAAGAGAAAAAAAAAAAACTATTGGCTTAGTTAATACAACAGAATATTATTCTTGCCATCCAAGAAAGTTGATCGAGTCATAACAATACGATTCTTGCCATCCGAGAAAGTTGATCGAGTCATAACAATACGACATGAGAAATTATATGGTTACATCTCTACTGCTTAGCACGGAGAGGACGTGTATATGTATTTCATTACAAAACAAAGAAATTACTTGGGTAGTACCGATTTACGGCAAAACTTTATGAACCAAACAAATAACAATAAGGATTCTTTAAAAAGTGTTCCGACTTTATCTTTTTTTTTTCAGTATATAATTAAAAATACTTTTATTTCAGTAAAAAATTTTATTTTTATTGATTTAGTCTATAAGTGACGCCATGGACTCACTACGTGTAAAATTTTTCCATAAAACAAAATTCAAAGTTACTTTTGGTAGGGGCCAAGACCCCCAATGTAGCAAAAATTCTCTCTTTTAGAGACGCTCTTAGCTGGGCCAAAACGGAAGGCTATCATCATGTCATTTTGAAACAGATCCATTGCTATTGGTATAAGCTCGTCAATCATGAAAAATTAGTGCTTAAACTATCGTGAATTCTACGCTTGTTGCAAAGCTATTTTATTTTGACCTTTGCACCCAGATACCCAATTTTAAGATTGAGATATATTAATATTCTAAATTCAAAAATGATCTAGGGTTTTGAATAAAATAATATATATATTAGTGAATTCCAATGGTTTGCCTTGGGTTAACTTGACCCAGGAAACATAACATGCATCTTTTTAATATAACAGCATAAACACCCTAATGTCACAAAACCATGATCTCTATTAGAAACAAAACATCTTGTCTCCCTAAAAAAATCATCGATCTCCATGAAAGCTCTCCACCGTCTCATCTCCCATTTATCTATGATTCCCATATCTCATGTACTTAATTATATCACATTTATTACGTATCAGTTAGCTTTTATAAAGATTATTCTTGCAGTAGATGCGAGCATGCCGTTTTCTGGCTATGTTGCTATCTCTTTCTATGGGACCTCGAAATATCATGTTGATGACACCCATCGTTTCTGCTTTGGTTGATTGTTTGCTTTCTCTTTTGTGGTGTCTTCATTCTAAGAAACACTCTGCACAAAATTTTTAAGCACTCCTCTCTAGATTAATTTTTCTATTTCATTTTTTAAGCTGCCAACAATTTTCGGTATCATGACCCGCATCTTTGTAGAAGTCATAATTCTTACTTTTATCTCTATATGCAGATGATCCTTCTCATCTTTTTTGGATATATAATATATACATCATCTTTATGCTTTTGAATCCAATTTATGATATAAGTTCTGCTCCTGTTCACTCGGGTAAATTGTCTTTCTTCTTGCCCTTCAATGCGGGAATATGGTGTTCGTGCTGTATAATTTGTTCAAGCAAAATGTGGTCTATTCTATCTTGTTGGAGATCTTCTCCTCGACGAATCTTCTCTCTTTTTCTCTGGTTGTTTTTTTGTTTGTGCTTGTTGAATTTTCACTGGCCGAACACAGTTGTTGACCCTTGTCATTTATTTTGCCAAAGAAAGTGGAGGATCAATATATCTTTGAAAAATATTGGAGAAAGGAAAGTAATAGAAGAAAATAATGAAAAATTGTCAACTTTATTTACATAATTATATTTCACCTTTGCGTTTGGATATAATGAATGAAAAAAAAAATATATTTTTCTTTATTTAGAAAAGGTAAAAAATTTAGAGGAAAATAAAATATTATTATTGAAAATTGACAATTATGTCCTCATCTAAATTTTGAGGTATGCCATGAGATATGTAAGAAATTGTTAAAGTTTGTTAATTAATTTGGGGCATTTAGGTAACTTAATAAAGATGAGTCAAACTTCCACTTTCTGCATTATTTTCTCTTCAAACACTACAAAAAAAAACGCCATTTTGCGACCGACCAATCGGTCGCAAAATGGCAAAAATCGGTCGCTATTTGTACTGTGCGACCGATTTGCGACCGACTTTTATACTGAATGGATCAAAACACTAAACAAAGAGAAATAAAGACGGACCAGATAAATTATTCAGCCAGAACCGAACGCGTGCACAATCGTGCGTTCTGCAAAATGGCAAAGATAGTCCAGTTCAACTATTTGTACTGTGCGGAATGTGGCAGGCAGACACGAGAATAATTCAAGCGAGATATCTGATTTTTCGTTCGCAAGATAAATCACACACGTAGTCGCGTGCAAGACTTCCTAAATTGACGAACCAGTCTCCGTGAACAAGCTCACTAGTCGATTCAGAGAAATTATAACTATGATACCGAATAAAAAGCTCAGTAGAGAGTCGCAAATCTCGCAAATAAATCGAGTCCTAGCATCTTTTTGGATACGTGTGAATTCTACATGAAGCCAAAAGTGCCGATCAGCAAATAACTCTATAAGGCTCCGACAGAAATCACATACAGTACATACTTATCTCAAAATACGAAGATCTGCAAAGATCTCTCCCGATCGAAACAAATTTTTCATCAGAACATTCCACATATTTTTTGCTTGTATTATCAAAATCGAAGTGTGTCCAACAGCGAACAACCCATTGTGAATTGGAATTAAGATGACAATATAAGAGTGGTAAAATGATTTTGTATGAAGACCATAGAATCTTTATATCAGAGATGATCACTGCTCGAAGAGGAGTAGTATATCAGGCCTAGTGTAATACACACTGCGTGGTGGCCATTGCGACAGATGTTCATAGCTGCATGTATTAAAAAAATGTTAATTTTTATGTGTTTCGTGAGAAAACAAGGCATTAAAAAAATCGGAGAAGAGAACTTACATAATACGAAGAAGAGAGAAGAGTATAAATATGGTCGGAGAAGTGGTTATCGCTAACCTTATTAAATAGTTGCGTGTCGTGCTCTGAAAATTAGAGTGTAAGCAGAAAAATGAGAAGCAAAATTAAAAAAAAATATGCAGGTTCCGATGTCGGATCGCCGAGGAGTACCTGCTGGATTGTGATGGTAGCGCCAGAGGGGTGAGCAAGGTATCTGTGCCCAATGTGCCGAGATCTCTGGAGCGGATCAGGACGTCTGTGAGTGAGTGGCATCTGCTGAGAGCAGTTATACCGAAAACATGGAGAAAAAATGCTTTGTCATTGCTTCTTTGTGATTTGAAGCGTTTTCGTTGATATAGAGTGCTCTAGAGGGCAGACGGACTTTAGGTATTCGTTGAGGAGCTGATAGGGCGTTGCCAGGTTATTAGAGTAGACCACGGGATGACATCACACCGAGACAATGGGAATGAGCAGCTTATTGGCACATGCGGCATATCTAAGTTCTGGCAGATAAGTCTGTATACTCGTGAGCTTTGTAAGTATCACAGATATGTTCTTAGACACAAATATATGTGCGACATCAGAAGTGCATGCAGTGCTCGAGACGTTCTCTCAGTGTGACTAATTCCAGGCGATTGCGTATGTCTTGCTGCCGACTGGTCTTGGTAGTGCGAGAGCGGTAGGAATGGTCTGGCTGAAGACGTCCAAGCGTATGGAGAGAATCTCAAGGAAAACTGAGCTCGTATATTGTCCTTGAGACCGATGCCGATACCTTCCTCTTCTTCTCGCGCCCCTACAGCCTCGAGATTTAAAGCGCTACCTCGTCAATTTCTTTGACTCAGCTTCCTCGGTGATCATTCTCTGATTTCATGAGAAGTAACAGCTTATTTTAACTCCGATACGGCGTATTGGCTGTAGTTATAGTATTCTTCATTCGCGTGTGTAAAGAAGTACAAGAAATGTAATATAATAGGATCCCAAATTTGCCATTATTGCTTTAATTGAGGCAGTCATTGTTTATTATATGACTGAACTTTGTACCATTCTGCGGACCAATATTATATATTAGTACGAGAGGCAGTTATATTAAATTATTATGTGTGTATATCAAGTGAATTTAATAATCTACTGTTTCTTATCATATTTGTAACTCAGACTCAGCGCAGTTCTGTCGACAAGGTATTACGATCGGTTCCTTCGGTGTGAGTGTATGTAAACACCTCTTACTCGATTGTAGATTGGGTGCAAACTCAATCGATTCTCCTAAATTTTTATATGACCTGTAAAATCAATTATTTATTATATATGTAATTTTATATTAAATTTTATTGAGTATTAGCTAGAAAATAGTCCTTGTGACATCCTATAAAAACTCTTTTCAAAGAATTGTATTGTAAATGGACTAGGTCATTCTTACTAATAATCGAGCTGTCTCTACTAATCACCTATTCAATATGGCAAGATTAATATGATTTCTCTCGTTCTGTGATGCTTGTTCGAGGACAAGTGGTTTATCCGCGTCTCCAATGTCTTATACTCGCGCCATTCTCATCTACCCTACGACCTTATTATTTGCTAGAACTTATGAGTATCTCCCCGCTTTCTCTTGAATGCAGGATCCTTCCCAAGCCTTTTGCCAGCTCTCCCATTATCTCTGAGACACGCACTGTGCTTTCTTACCGCTTTTTTCTCATCCTATACGTGAAGTCAGCGTATCGATCGCGGCATATCTTCTCCTAGGGCTACTTTCACATAGCTTGTAATGGCCTCGTCCCATATGAAAATGTTTTGGCAAAAAAATAAATATCTTTGGATTTATCTTGAATGTAAACATTGCAAATGTATGATATACTTAAACCAAAGATACCTGAACTCTCCCAATAAAAGTCTCTCGCACCTTGTCGTGACGGCATACCATGTGTATCCTTCTTTAAGCAG